TCAGGCAGCGTCGGAGCGTGAAATTAGCGAGCCGTTCCATCAGCTCGTACGCCATATTTCGTGTAAGCTAAATAGCTAGGCGTGTGTTTGAGACGGCTTCGTTCAGAGCCCGGCCCAATTGGATGAAGCGGGAGTTAGGTGCAATTAAGCCGGTCTAACGAGCATACTATTACCTTAATGAGTTCAGGATTCAAAAGATAGGTTTTCATTATTTCGGATAAACGAAACGTGCTGCCCAGACTGAAAATCCCTCCTGGCGGATCGCCGTTCATCGCAAGCGCGTCCTTACCCTCGCATACTCGACAATGGCTTTACGTATCGTTACCGCGGCGCGGGGCTGTTACGATTTACACGCTTTCCCGCGGGAGTTGTGTCTGTCGAGGTACACAAACGGCAAGTTGTAAAAAGCAAAAAATCGTATTTCTCTTGCCGTCTTAATGTTCGCGCCGTAAACTCGCTGATTTACAGGCTATACGCACGGGAGTAACGCGCGTGAAGGATTAATCGACGAGAGGTTTGCAAGCGCCGATGGGACGACACGTTTTCTTCTAACCGGCGCAACGCCGCGCGTGTCGTTCGCGTAAAAAAAAAGCCACGCGAGCCGATCTCGATGGCACCTCGCGTCGCAGCGTACCGCCTCGCTTCGACAACAACGCCGTGAAATCGACCATCGCGGCGCGCAACGTCGTCGTCGGGTGTCATCTCGGGGGCCCCTATCGATCGACCGGTTCGCCCGTGTGCAACGGACTTTATCAAGGGCAACGTACCCTCCACAGGTCGGTACCGCGCGTCATTTGCAACTCGTTTCATCGCCTGCCATCTGCGACGCTTTGATGGCCGCTATGAGGAAGAAACCATAATCGCCCGTCCACACACTTGCGCACGCGCACACACACACACACACACACACACACACATACGCAACTGCGAAGTACGCGAATTTATAGAGCTACACATCCCCGCCGCGCGAACATGCCGTTGCCTCTCGAGGAGGAATTTATCACGATCTTAAAAAGAAAGGCGTTACGAGAATCATGGGACTCGTGATGTTCCGGACGGTTAGAAATAACGGATTGATACTTTTTGTGTTGAATTCCAGCGAGCAAATTCGGAGATTCGAAGCTGAACATTCAAGATCCAATGAGACTCAACAAATGACATCTTGAATTTTTAGATTTTCTCTGAAAAATTATTTTTGAACCTTCTTGAATCTGCACCTTATCCCTAGAACTTAACTCAAATCCCTTATTCTGAACTCTCTTTTATCATTGAAAGTGCCTCAGAATATGTTTATCAGCCAATCAGAACGTTTATAGGTCACACTTGGAAGCATTTTTATCGGCAGAAGAAAGTTCAGAATAAGGAGTAAACAGTTTGTTACTCTTAGCGTGCAGATATTCTCTCTTAAAGTACGTGCATGTGCGCGTGAGAAATTTCACGCTTGGCATGAAACTTCCGAATCGAACCTTCAACTCGAACACTGGTAAACCAATGCGAGAGTGTACGCAAATGAAGGCGGGCTGAGGTTTAATTAAAAGAGCCCGCACTCGAATTCGCGTTCTATTCCAAGTTGCGTATCTCATTTCAAGTGTTCTCGATGATTTGCTGTAATATCATGCGCTCTCACCGCGCATATTACATTATAAATACGTATGCGTATATACAACCACACATACGCGTACGTACACATAGATCGCAAAATTTATATTGGGCAAATTGATAAAACTCACCATGGAATAATCGCGGCATTATTAATTGGAACAATTGAGCATTTGATCGTTACGATTTCGATGAAAAACGGCGCTCTGCGGCCGGCACCGTCCCAATATTTATTTTATTTGCTATAAACATTTACACAATATAACGTCCAGCGTTTCGGCATACCTAACGTATCGAACGTACTTTTTGTCTCATACATACACACACACACACATACATGTGCGTGCAACGTTTCGGCCGAAACAAGCAATTGCGATATTATTCAATAATAAGTACTCGGTGTATCGCGAGAATGAAAGGAGAATTATATCGCGGGCAAGCAATCAGTGCAATTGCTGTGATTAATTATATTTTTTATCTCCCCTGAGACCGGACAATGCGTGCGTGCTTAAATTGCGGGTGAACGTGAGTTTTTTGTATTACCGCCGCGTGTGCGTCGTTAACGCAGTTAAGCATATATTTTGAATGAGACTTCACGAGAAAAGCCGGATTTTTAATGAAATTGTTCGCGCTGATGAGAATAACGAGCCTCATAAGGATCCTCGTGTAACGTGCGTGCGCTGAAAAAAAAGAAGGAGAAAAGAGAAGCGTGAAACACAGGCGTGTCGCGAGCATATTTTTATTTTTCTTTTGTTCCCCGTCAGTAATCTCGCTGTGTGACGGCGTGATTAAGGTTCTCGCGGTCGAGAGTGTGCCCCTTAGTCGAAATAATTGTAAAAACAAAACGTGATACGATTACGAGAATGCTTTCTCTACGGTTTCACGCTAAATTGCCAAACGACACTTGTTTAATTGTAATTACGCACGATACTTTTTCGCGATTTAATATGAAATGTTCTAATTTCGCGGCCCAAATGCAAATCTAATTAATAAATCACGAGAATTGTGTATACGTGTCGCGTTTATAAAACATTGTTGCCCAGGTATGCGCAAAAAATACTGTGTAATAATGTATAAATATATCATTGTTACGTACGTACACGTAACGTTAACGGACGGAGCGGTATCGCGTTTGCGCGTATGGCGCGCTCCCGCGCCGGAAATGACAATGTCCCACATTTGACAGGGAGGGCCATTTTTCGAATTGTCAAACAGCAGGACTGCCGCGTATCAAAACGAATTCAGGGCGCTGATAAAAGGCTCAGTCTCTTTTCACAGTGGCTGCGGCCATTCACGCTCTCGGCTCCGAAGAGAAATTCTTTCAAATTGAAACCCGCCTGGATTGGACGCCGCGTGATGCCAAGAAAGAAAAAGAGGAAGAGAATATTCGCCAGTATATGAATGAGACTCACAATCCAGCCAGATGTGCCTGTCGCCGATAAAAATTGTCATCGAATTCGACCTCCGCGGTAATTACGTATCCGCCGATGCGAACGCGACGGGAACAACGACTCGTGCGCCATTAATAACGCGAGACATATTTCATCCATTCGGGGAAAAAGGCGCTGGGACGAATATTTACATAATACGATATCGTCAGAATACTTTTTCTGCAATAGAATTGCAGCCGCGGCAAGATACTTGAAGACAGATCTGAATGAGCAGTAAGAAGGAATTCTCATCTTGGCAGAAAAACAGAAAGGCAGAAGCCAATTAAAACTCGCGCTGGTAGTCGACAATTTCTGCAAAATGTACTGCTCACTACCAGCGCGAGTTTCGATTAGCTTCCGCCTGTCTGCTTTCTGTGCTTTCCTGCCAAGTTGTGAATTATCGCTAATGTTGCAGTTATTGGATTGCAAATACATTGTTTTACTAATGCAATTTGTTTTACTAATGCATATTGTCTTACTAATGCATATTATTTTACTAATATAATTATTTTAATAAGTAACGGACTGTCGTCGCTTTGCATTGTACTTGGGTGCACACTAACAAAATAATACATCCGCACCCAATAACTGCAATTTGGCTCTTACTGTCCTTTTAAAATTGTGACTCAGAATCTTCAGAGGCCTCAATCGTATATCTGTATTTTTAAGATGTTTCTTTCTTCAATTCGCCATGTTGACGCGGTTGATCGTGTGCTCTTGGCGAAATCGTATCGTATCGCAGTGCACACAGTCTGCCGAGTTAAGACGGTTGTGATGAAGAGGTTGCGTCTATCGTGTGCCTTCGCTTCATCTCCCCCCGACTCAAGGAGATCAAGCATTTGGCATTCTCGCCCGATACCGTTGTCTGATCGCGTTCGGCTTATTTCGCTTCATTTGTCGATCTCGGTCAACGTCCCATTACATGCCGCAAGCTCTCTATCCCCGGCAGCCCGCCTATGGACTGTCGGATTTGAGAAGCAACGATCCGTTTCGTGAGATACGGTGCCATGGCATTAGCGACTATTCGGACGTCCCGCCAACTAGCGAACTCTAATTTGCGGTCCCCGCTAATTGAGGGACGATACACAGTCCGGGACGCGACTGCACTAGCGGACAAATGAAGAGACTTCTGGATTCGACAGTATCTAGCGTTATCACGATCACCACGACGTAATGCGATAATACTAACGAGCTATCGACGTAGTACTATTAACCCTGACGGTAACGCGCTCATTTTACGTATTGAGCGCGAATTATCAAGAAATTGTTTGGAAATTTATTAAATCACCTATCAAAAATTGTAATATTCGTTCTCTTTTTTGCTTTACTTTTAAACTGGTTTCTATGCATAAGTTTTGAACAAGTTCTGAAAGTAAATTATAGTGAAATTTACACCTATACGTCCGGGAGTTACAGGATTGGTGTTAGAGGATTAACGATTGAATTATCGAATTAAAAAATGTCTACGCGGACTGTACATGGTGTTGTTGAAACGTTCGGATGAGCTTCCAGAGTAGAATTTTCGAGAAAAATTCATGTAAACATATCTTCAGGAAATAACGACCTTTCAGCGCTGTTTATACGATGGAAAATATTTTGTGTCGAGATCGATCAATGTAGAAATTTGCGTAGTAAATTTTCAACACTCATTGTGTTATACAATTTATTGTATTTTTTATTCTGTTGTATAATTTGACATATTTTCGCTCTCTTTGTTGTTTTGATTGTTTTGCGTTGAATTTCTGCTCGTCATTTTTAATTGTGTTAAAATAACACAATTTATATGTACATTTTTAGTATGACACGCTTGACATATACAGATAAGTTGTGTTATCGATCAACACACATTTGCCGTGTTAAATGTGTTAAATTGTGTTAAATTAACACAAAAGTCAGAGTGGATAAATTGAGTCACGTGAGAAATGCATTAAATATCTTGCAATTGACGATTTCTCGTTGAAAAACGCATACCTGGTGTGACGAGAAGCGCGATGCCAAGGAGTAGAGCCCTTGCCGCCACTTCCGCGATTCGTCGGAAGTCCCTGCGACACCACCGTAACCGATGCCTCTTCCCTTCGTCGTCGTCATCGTCGTCGTCCTCATCGTTCTTACCCGCGTGCTCGAAAAGGCCCAGACAAAGCCGCAGCTTCCGGTACACCGCGCCGATCCCATCTGTCTCGGGCATGCGTCGCTTCAGACTCTCCTTTTTCTCAACCGCTTCGTTCTCCTGGCGCCTATACGGCCGGCAGCTTGTGCAGGTGGGCTGACCGGAAGCGATGACCGCTTCGTGGTCAGTCCCCCTGAGGAGAAGTGCTTCCTTTTATTATAAGCGATTTCACCGCGGCGTGTCATCTTAAGGACACTGCTAATTGAAATTCCTTCTTACAAAAATATTTTGACACGAGATTACGTCATAAGCTCGCTCTTCCAACACAAGCGACACATTGAAGAGACAATTTGTAGCTTCCTTTACTTTAATTCACAAAATTAAGAGACGACATTTTATGTACACGGGAACTTGTCGATGAATCTATTAGGAGCTTGCAAAAGTTTGTCGGATCGTCGATAATTTCATTGAGAAGATAAAAATAATCTCACAAACGTGAAATCAGGCAATTACTTTTAGAGATGACAGAAAGTAGTGGATAAAGATACTTTGATTGTGGATACGGCATGTACCGTTTCATTATTACTGATAAAAATATAGACTAAAAATATGATGAGTTTTTGCAAGCCACTATACGGAGAAAAAGGGTTGAATTGACGTGACAATGAACGGATCAATCGTCTTTTACTTGAAGGGAACAGAATTTCTGAACCTTACAGCCTGAATTGAGTTGATAAGAAACAGACATTCTATTTTCTTTAATCGAAAAACGCTTGATGTTCGTTCAGTATCACGTTATTTCAATCAACCTTTTCCCTTCACGTAATAAATATTTTCCCAACGTATCTTATAAACACGCGCGCGTATTTCGTGACGGACTTAAAACACGAAGCTAGGACACTTCTGATCGCTAAACAAATGGGTCGCGCAATCGGGAGAGGCAATGCCCGCGCTGGTTTACCTGTCCTCGTGGTCGTCGCACGCGGCGTTCTCCTCGGTAGCATGGTAGCTGTCGTGCCTTAGGGACCGAAGACTCTGCGAACAAGTTCCTCCGGTACACTGGAACTCGAGCCTTCGCCGGAGGTCCGTGGCTTGTAGCCCTCCTCCGCCCCCCATACCCCCGCTCCCATAGTACCTGCGGGCACAAGCAGGTCGACGTCCGTTACAACCATAGCACACGCGCGGCCGCAACAATCACCGCAACACCTACCGGCATCTACACCCGGTAGGGGGTGAGCTGAACGGTAAATGACACGTCGCTCAATATGTCGCATAAAACTAGAAGTACCGACGCCAAATAAGAAATCGTAAAGAGTATAGGCACCTATGCGCGACGTAGCGCCGCGTGATGGACGGAATCTCCCAGGATACGGCGCGAAGTGACAGTAAGTAATGGTCGCGCGAGTTTGCTCGATGCGCGTATGCAGGTATCGCGCGTTATGCGTCGTGGTTTGATGACCTCGTAAAAATTCCCTTTCTCCGCGAAGAACGCCGATGGCGAATCACGTCTTTATACCTTGCGGAAGTTCTGCCACGCGAGATTCGACTTGCACAGCGAGAGATCCAATTTGGTGCCGGTCAAGGTCGGCGATCGAGCGATTTTCGGTGTGTGATGTCGAGTACCGTGATGTCTGTCACTTGTTGAAACAAAACGTTTTAAACGCTTTAAATTGACACGTTCGCTATACCGAGCTTAAATTGCAATTCGCAACTCGTGACAGTTCACGCTATATTTTCAGTAACTCTACTCAACACGTTTCGTGTCTAATTTCATAAACCGATGGCCCACGTTGTTATATTGTGCAACAACATTTATTTTATTTAATTACGAATATATATAAGATAAGAGAGTAAGAGCCAAATACTGGAAGCGAATACTTAGCGAATACTTAGTAATAACAATCTGAGTCGAAATTTTAGGTCTATATTTTTTTTTCAAATAATGACAAACTTTTTTTTATTTTAGATCTGAATTTTGTAGCATCTGCGTATTCTGAATGATCAGTACATGTTTAATATACGTGTAAAAACTAAAAATTTATGTAGCGCCTTTAAATAGCAAAAAACGCAGAAAGTGCACTTGTAAGTTTTAAAGAAAACTTTGCTGCAAATGTGTTAATCCAAATGTGTTATTTTCAAATGTATAAACATGTAATTAAGCTAAAGCTCTTTTTACACGTTCCTTGCAGTAAATTTTAAGTTACATCATTTAACTCGTTTAAGAGAGTGAGAGAGAGAGAGAGAGAGAGAGAGAGAGAGAGAGAGAGAGAGAGAGAGATAGAGAGATGTGTAAATTATAATTTAATACGTTTAATACGTTTAAAGACAATAAATAACACAACTAAAATATAAGAAACATGTAAAAAGAGATTCAGTCAGAATTAGACATTTGTATTTGTAGTGAACGCATATATCAAATAGCTTTCCCGAGTTTGTAACGTACGCGCAGTGAATCTATCTGGATAGACACACACGTTATTTGATAAATTGTCGACAAATTTTATATGTCAAATAACATGTGTCTTATAATAATTATGAAGGTATTTCATGATTACGTTTTGTTTTGGAATCGATACATCATATGCCTTGAACGAAGAGTTCTGCATGGGCCATCGATGATCTGTATAGCACGGAATGTGTTAACATAATGCGCGTTTGTGCATTATGCACACATAATATATGTTAAATAGGTAAATTGAGTATTTTGTGTAATATCTCGCACAATGATCTCTAGTGAGAGATCGGTACGTTACACATGTGTGACGCTAACAGCGAACGTATTAATAGTGAGATAACAGATCGATCGATTCGAGTGGCCGAGTAAAGACGGCGGTGAAATTGGACGATTAATGCTCGCCAGAAGTTTTCTCTAAAGAGTATTTGACTCACGTAGCCGGTTTCATCCCACTTTCCGCTTTTTATCAACGTAGACGAGAGACATACTCACCCCTGCCGCTCCGCCACCACTACCGCTGCCCGGATCGTACGCCCCCGATGCCGATTTTCACGAGCCTCGCCACTTCTTCGCCCTTCTCGGCTGCCACTTTAACCCCCGCAATGTGTCGCTCTCATCACCTGCAACACGAGGAAAAAGAGCGTATCGATCAGCAAAGGGACCGATGTTATATTGTGGAAAACGACAAAATTTCGGAACGACGCCTCGCCCCGACAACAAACGCGCTGTGTCGTCAAACCAGCGCGAATGATTGTGTACAAATTAATATATTAATGACGGTAATCGCGCATCAGAGTCAATTGTCGCGCACGAGTGGATTATCGTCGGCGCGCGATCGCTTATTTCGTTCCGGGGGGAAGGGTATTTTTGCGCAGCAATCGATAGCGTACGTGTGTGTCCACGGGCGCGCACGTATCTGTGTATATACGCACGGACGAATGCGAATCCTTTGGCGGATAGTTGAAATTCCGTGTAGGCGAAACGTGAATCGATTCGATTAGCAACATACGTGCTCAGATACAAGCCTGATTGATTCAATTTGGGTTCCGGCGCTACGAGCGGTGCTTAGACGAAGATGCCCTCTGAAGATGGACTGATAATTATATCACGTTTGGAGGCTGCCACGTGACCTGGCTGGAGCAGAGATAGAGTAGCATGATCTGAGAGAGACGGAGAATTAAATATTTCTAAGCCCCCTCCCCCCTTCCGGAGCACGTGACACGAATTCTATGACTCGATCAACTTCTGATCGAGTTTAACGTCTTTAATGTTTCGGTTACCGGCGCAATTATAAATGTTATATATCACATCCCCTCTGTATTTCGTATCGTGTATTTTTAAACGACGAGTTTTACATTTACTGACACATTCGCACTGTAAATCCGAATGTGTTATTTCGGTTGGATCTCCTTTTACACATTTCTTACCGTTTTAAATCACGTCATATGGCACGTTTAAGCGTATTGAATTTTCATTTACACCTCCTAAATGTGTCAAATGACATTTGGTTTAAAATCGTAAGAGACGTGTGAAAGAAATAAATATCTTAAAGCTCTCTAGGTAACATCTAAATTTTGACGGGAATAAAACCATTAAGAGCTGATGCTGGATGTTTTTTGCAAATGTCTATGATGAGGAGGATAATAGAATCAATGCGTATGGGAGAGCATTAAAATAAGGGAGATTTTAATAATTACAATATTTATAGAAAAATATTAGGGAATTTAGGGTCGGTTTGTTAGTGGAAAATTGATTCATCGCGTACGTTGTAAAGATCGGAAAATATTTCGGCGCGTGCGTTTGACACTACAAACATTATTATCCTCCCCATCATAGACATTTGCAAAAAACATCCAGCATCGACTCTTAATGGCCTTATTCCTGTCAAAATTTAGGTGATACGTGTAAAAAGAGCTTCAGCCAAATGACACGTTTATGCGTTTAAAAATAAAACACTCGGATTTGCAGCGCATCCCAAAAGGTGTTGTCGTGTTTATATTTAAACTCATAACATTTGGCGATGCATTAATATCAACTGCTGACGCTATAACACAAGCTGAAGCACTTCTTCGCCGCACAACTTTGCGCGCAACTCTCAAGCGTCGTTACACGGAAAAAAGCCTCAATTCATGCAACTGAATAGGAACCAGATGAGCGACGTGAAATGATATCTCTGTTACTGCAACCAAAAACATTCAAACTCGGTTACAATAACTGAGAACAATTAACTAAGTGGAAACCTCCTGCAGAAATCTTTCTGCTCCTACAACTGAGCCTTTTTAACACGTTCTCTACCAGTGTCACATTTGACACGTCGGTTTCTCACTTCCAATTCATCTTTACTCAAAATTTTCAAATTTACCTAACACATTCGTTTACCAACGTCACATGTGCACGACATTTTTTCTTTGTGTATCCGCGTATAAACAAATCTGTTTTACACAATTGCATGGAAACAAATGTGGTCTGCGGGGAGAATTCCCCAAACAAATCGTGGTAGCGAATATGTTAATCTGGCTTCCATTTTCCGGGTAACAGAAAATTCAGTTATACTAACGGAATTGTTTTTTCCGCGTAATCTCTCCAGTAAAGAATATATCATTATTATTGTTGTTGTTATATTACCTCGCAATTGATTTAAAAAGAATCTAATAAAATCGAGAGGGAGAGAGAGGCCGGCGCGCGTCTTTGGCGCCGTATCGAAAATCGGAAAATATTTTAATAATTCGACGCGCAAGTATATTCAATAACGACTGATCGCGAATCCTGGTACAGCGCGATGAAATTGCAAATTAGCTGCGATTGTGTTTGATGCTGCAGTACTTAACCTCCCCGTAGAAAATGATCGCGATTTAATGCAAATTACATTACAATATACGCGGGCGCGCGCGATGTATTACGGTCATGGAATAATAGCGCGCGCTCTCGCGCGCACTCACTCGCACGCTCGCGCTCGCGCCACGGTTATTTATCGTGCGTCAATACGCGAAGATTTTGCCTCATTCGAGGCACGTTCGTGTAATACTAACTCCGACAGGAATTACGACCGTTCCGCCAGTAAAACGACCGTTCCGCCGACGTAGAGAGCAGGTGCGTATTAGATAGAAGTACTTCCACTCGGTGATTGCGTCGAGTCCACGCGGAATGAATGATGCGCCCGGCGAAACGAATCGACCGGGCTTTATTAATGAAACGGGGCGGCACGAAGAGGTCGCAGAAGGGGGGAGAGGGGACTTGAAACGTTGAGCTCCATCTCTTAAAATGCATTGTATACGGATCAAATTATTTCGCGCGCGTCGCAGATATAACGAAGTTATTATAATAATCAATTAGCTAATGGAGAACGAATGGCCTTTGTGTTACATAATGCTTTAATAAATGGGCGCAGTCTCCGAGAGATAGAGAGAGAGGGGGGAGGGGGGAGGGGTTAGGGAAAGCTATGGAACTGATTTTTGGATTAGACGGATAAGTAATGCAATAATATCGTGCGGTAATCTATGGACGAATGCAATAGCGGTAACGCGGCACCGCGACGCCGTAAGCTTACTCATAGTACCCTTTTATTTATGATTACCGTCGGCTATAGTAATGCTGTCGCATCAATCAGGTGCTGTTACTGACTCGGAGCTCTGTGCCAGGTGGAAGGTATTAGACGGTCGCGCGAGATTGCAAGGTGGAAGTTCGATTCTCGTGCGCCTGTCGCGATTGTCAGGCTAACAGTATTTATCCCGTCACTGCTTTTATCGTTATTTTCTTTTGAATCTTGTCTGTATTACGACCGTGTGTATGAGGTAAAACGTCCAGTAGTCGATGGCACTCCGCCAGTTCTCAGCACTCCTCTGCGCGGATTTTATCAAATATTAAAAGGTGTATAGGGATTTAAAAAATAAAATAAGCAATAATTAATGAATAGTTAATAAGTCCCCATATAGACAGCTTAATTGATTGAAAATCCGGGCAAGAGTGCCGAATACTGGCAGAGTGCCAGCTAGTGAAAATGTTTTACCCTATCTTGGTTGAAAGATCTAGGCGTAAAACGCCTAGTTACATGTCGCCTGGTAGTCGACACTGTCGCGCGGATCTTATCATATACCAGTTAAAACTATCCGATGTTATGAGTATAACTATTCCAGTTATCACAAAGTGTCAAGGGGATGACATTTTCAGGAGAAGAGAGTGAGGTGCCAGGTTTAATATTTTCTGCAGGGTCCTAAAGAATAACTATGTGAAATTCAGATCGGTTAAATAGTTTAAGAGTGTATAGGAAACACAGACAGACACTCTGTTATATATATATATATATATATATATATATATATATATATATATAAAATAGTATAGACCATAGATCATAGATTTATAAAAAAAAGAATAAATAACAATCAGTGAATAATTAATAAATATCCATTAATATTTGATCAAATCCGAACAAGAGTACCGAGAGCTAGCGAGTGCCATAACAAGTGACTATTGAACGTTTTTTATCTCACTGTAAAAAATTTTGTGTTAAATTCCACACACTTCACGTGTCCCAATTTATCCATTGTAATTTTTACATAAATTTAACACAAGGCAAATATGTGAACAGATAGCACAAATAATACATCGAAAATTAACAAAAAAATGTAACACTTGGATATTATTGTGTGATTTTAATAGTTAATAAATAAACTCAACGCAGAATAGTGAAAATAACAGAAGGATAATGTCAAATTAACACAGAAATTTCTTTCTACGTGACTTCAACTCAAATATAAAACGTCTTTTTACCGTGCTTATATCACATATCGTCTTTCCTCTTTTATGCGGGACTTTAATACCGTCTCGCACGAGTGGATGGTTAATTGCACGTTGCAAAAGCGGCAACGCCATGACCTTGCGTACGTTGTGGATTCTTTCGCGAAAGAACGATGTAGGGGTTTACGAGGTCGCGCAAGTGCCGCGCGTATTTTCTGCCCAGGTTGAGGCCGTAGAATTGACTTTTCGAACAGACATTGGTTACCTTACTATCCGACTTTATAGCCGATATTATTTCCAGAGCGAAGTCACGTTTTACTACCTCTCGCGTCAAACTACCCTAACTCAGATAGCGGTCGGTTCGAGGATTCTTACTTCATGACCGAGGTTGGAGCGATGAGGACTGCGATTCCGAGTCAGTTTGCAGATTTAATCGCCGGCAACATGATCGAACGGATATACGACTGAAGATAAAAACAGTGAAGATAAAAATCAAACGGAAAGAAACGACAGCCGCGTGTCTTCCGTTGATGAATTCTCAGCCGTCTTTCTTTCTCAGTTTTCCTCTGGTATTACATAACCGTTACTGGCAGAACTCACAGGACCGTTTCATGCGACGGGATGTTCGTGGATGGCCTTTTTATAGCTGCGGACTGAAATATGTCGGCGCGCGAAATTTAACAATGCGGCGCAAACACGGGAGTGACCCGCCGAGCAGATTCCGCGTTCCGCCGGCGCATTGTACACGGGATGAAGTGATTTCGCAGTTAGAACTATTTCCAAGGCCGGGGGTATTCGGGCCAGTGTGTATAGACAGCGGCGGCGGCGGCGGCGACGACGACGAACGTATACCTGGCGGTCGTCACCTTGGCCGAAGAGAGGA